CCTCAGAGAAGTTTTAAGACACAGCTGGAGTGAAAGAACCCCTTTGACCTACAGGGATTCACAAAAATGTGTCGTTGGGCAAAATGTCAGAAATAAAAGGGAAAAAACTACTAACATTACTCTTCCTGGTTTAAAATAACTAAACTTACTTAGTCTTAGTAAAGTCCAGATTGTATGCTGGGGGGCAACTATTACCTACTGTAGTGTCATGGATATTTCTACATAAAACCAAATATCCACAACATTCTTAATCCAGGTCTTTTGGGGTATCAGTGAAAGAGAGAGAGACAGAGAGAAAAAGAGAGAGAGAGAGAGAGAGTGTGTGTGTGTGTCTGTGTCTGTGTGCGTGTTTATCAATAGGAGAAAATTATTTTTGTTAATGTCATTGTATTTTGAACTTTCTGATTCTGATTTACCAAAAGAATAGGGAGATTTGAAGGAAGCAATAACCATCTTCAAAATTCGCACTTTTAAATGAGTGTCCTTTTCTATATATCATTCATAACTGTAGTTTATCCATTTTATTTTTATCAAATACCTACTCTGCCCCAGGCTCTGAAAACAGAGGATAGAGCAATAAAATAAAACAAGGAAAATATTAAAAAGAATTCTGATGGAGTTTGCATTCTATAAGGGTATAAAAAGAATAAACAAGTATATAAAAATGAAAGGTAGGGATTGAGAAAGAAAACGGTAGGATAATGAGAATGGGGTGGGAGTTGCCCCATGCTCCCTATGGGAGAGTCATGTGATATCAGCAGACTATGGTCAGGGGAGATTCCTCTAAGGTAAGATATGACCCATAATTTGAAGGAAGTAAGAGAAAAGGCCACAGGGATATCTGACTGCGATGGCTTTTTTGAGGTGTCAGTTTGGCAAAGCTCCAGTTCCCAGTTACTCAAACGCCAATCTAGGTGTTGCTGTGAAGTTACTTTGCACATTAATTAAACTCCCTAGTTAGTTGATTTTAATAAGGCATATTATCCTGGAAAATAATGGTGGGCTCAACTTAATTAGTTGAAAGGCCGTCAAAGTAGGACTGAGAATTCCCAGAGAGAGAAAAAAAATTCTGCCCATAAACAACAGCTTCAGCCCATGCCAGTGGAATTCCACCATGCTTATCATGCTCCTTCCCTGGCCACCTGCCTGCCCTACAATGTTCAGATTGGCTTAGCCAAGCCCCTCAAGTGCCAATCCCTGGTAATAAACAGTTTTATGTCCTATAGGTTCTCTCTCATTCAACTCTAGCTGATAGACTTGAGAAGAGCATTCCAGGCCCTGAGTTAAGAAGTTGCTTGGCAGGTCCAGGAGACAGCATGGAGGCCACTGTGGCTTCAGCAAAGGGAGCAGAAAGGAATGGTGGGAGAAATAGTTTTGCTCTAGACACATTAGACACGTAAGTAGAGATTCCAAATGAGCATTTGGATATATCCATATGGAATTTGGGGCAGAGTCTGGACGCAGATATAAATTTCAATCTTTATGGGCTGCTCTCTTGTTCAAACCATTCTATAGTAGCAACCCAATTTCCTATAGATAATATCAAACATCCCAATAACCTCAGGAAGTCAAGTAACTTTTTTTTTTGTAAAACGTGATGCCATTCAAACTAAGGTATTCAACAAGTAACATACTCAATGCCAAAACCTCTAATCCTTCTGTGAAAGAGGCAGGACATAAAAATACATAAAACTAAACATCAAGATGCCGTGACATTTTGCTATAAGACTAGAATATGGGACAAGTATAAAACATAGATTATAAGCTTTCCTTATGATAAAAATGTGCTTCATATATTTAGTTATGCTTAAAGGATACATTATCAGTGGGAAATAGAGGAGGAATAAAACATTTTTTGCAGTTTCATAATTGCCTAAAAGTTTTTTTATGCAGATGTATGAGCTTTGAAGAACTTGGCTTGAAATGAAAAAGAAAAAACATGTTTATACTTAACTCCTTTGTGAAAATGTTTTAAGGTAGCTAATTCTTCAGGAAATATGGCATGGTTCACTGCCAGTCAGAATAAATTAATGCATCATTTTCCCCAGGAAATATCTCACACCTGTTTCTAATATTTATTTGTTCCTTTGGACTATTTCCATGCACTTGGTTCACTGATTTCTCCTTTCTAGGTCTCCCTAGTTAAAAAGAATAGGGCATGACTACTAAACCCAGGTGGTCTAGAAATCTCCATCACTGTTGAATTGTGGTTGACCCCAGTGGGTGGGGGTGGGTACGTTGTTTAACAAAACACACCACCCACCTTCTTTAAAGACAGAGACCACACAGTCCTACTTTTCCCATTCACAGAGTTGGCTAAAAGATGCAAACATTAGGGTTGTTTCTTCAAAGAAAATGATATAGCAACTTTCAACATAAACATGAACTTTCATGCTCCAAGGAAAGCAGGCCGTGATAAATCTCTTTTTGTGGTTCTGAAATCCAACTAAAGACACCTGAAAAAAAACTGCTGGACATTTGAATGAATTTATCTTGACAATGTAGTGAAGTTATATTTCCATTTCTGTAGTGAATTTCTGTCATTCGATTGAAAGCCATGAATGCAGAAATAAATTGGATCTTGGATTCATTCATGCATACAGGCAAAAAAACATGTATTCAATGTTTATTCTGAAAGACAGAATCCTTGCTTTTATAAAGGCCATATCTCATGAGAAAAGCAGCTAAAATCACTACAGAAATATGGCCAGTGTTAGAGAAGAGTTTGCAGGGAGAGTTTGCTACTGAATCACAAAGAAAAGAGAATCTTGGGATATAGGAAAATCAGGGATAATAGGCCAGGAGATTTAAGCTAAGTTGAGCCTTGGGACCAGTAGAAGCTAGTTAAGTGGTGAGAGTTTTCCATGACGAAGGTGAAATCTGGAAGGTCAGAAATAGTGACTGCGTTCAGAGAATTTTAGGCAATCTACAGGGCTGGCACACGGTCTTTTGCGGAAATTGGGTGGCAGATGGTAAGAGATGATAGCTGGATAGGCAAATATTTCACAATAAGTTCATCGTACCTACACTTGGTTATTTGGATTTTGTTTAAAGGCTTGGTTAGCCTCTGAAAGATTTCATACTGTAAGGTCACATGCTTGCATACACATTTTAGACAGGTGCTTCTGGCAGCCTTGCATTGATTGGGAGGGTACCAGGTTGGAGATAGGACAGATATGGCATAAGCATCATAAATAAGATAGTGATAGTGGGAATAAAAGGAAAGAGGTGAATTTACAAAATAGGTAAGGGAAATTTCAAAGAGTTTTCCAACATGTTTCCAAGTATAACAAAATATATTAGCAAACGCGGGCTGCCATAACAAAAAACACAGACTGAGTGACTTAACCAACAGAAGTTTGTCTCTCAAAGTTCTGGAGCCTGGACGTCCAAGACCAAGGCATCAGCTAGTTTTTGTTTTTCCTGAAGTTTTTCTCCTTGGCTTTTGGATGGTTGCATTCTCGCTGTGTCCTCCCATGGTGTTTCTTCTGTGCACACCCCTGGCATCTCTTTCTCTTCTTACAAGGGCACCGATCCTATTGGATTAGAGTCACATCCTTCTCATGTGATTTAACCTTAAATACCTCCTTAAGGGCTCTATTTCCAAATAGAGTCACATTGGGGTTAGGCCTTCAACATATGAACTTTGGGGGGCATAATTCTATCCAATACTAAATGAGGACTGTTCTCAAATTTTAGAAAGTATGAATCACGTGATTAGATTTCTGGGGATATGATGATGACAATCACATGGCTCTAAAACCTTGGTGAGAGCCTCTACATCTTTTCCCCATCCTCCAGATAACCAGTAAGGATTTGAGGGTCTGGAGAGTGCAGAGTCACAGGAAGGGGCAGTCTGTGTTCCTGGATGAAGACAAGGAAGAGCAGGGCCCTTACCTTCCTGTACTGAGCTGTCACAGGAGCAAGGGAAGAGATGAAGTTTTTAAAATATGTTTAAAAATAGTTATATTGAATAAATTGATATTGAATTTGAGAGCACAATAACTACATAAACTATAAATCTCAGGGACAAGGATCATTCACAATCAGTTAAGTCATTTTGCCACTGGAAGTGATATTTTAAAACATGATTACCCTTTGTTTCAAGCACATATACATCCACTGCAAGAGTTAACTTAGACTGCTGATGCCAATAATCTAAAACTACAATCTTTGTTACCTTAAAAGACAATGTCCTTTAGTACTAGGAATTCAAGAGGAATATTTTAGGACCATTGGTCAGAAACTTTCAATGCTTGTGATACTACTTTGGTATACATAAAAGCTCCACTAAGACTAAGAAGGAAGAATGTTTCCGTTTTCTATTGAAGACAGGATCTTAGAAGTACTCAAGTGAGTTATTCGTCTGTTTAAGTTTTATTTTAGTTTTAATTGACAAAAATAATTGTACATATTTATGGAGCACAATGCGGTGTTTCCATGTGTGTATACCTTGTGCAATGATCAAATCGGTGTAATTAGAAAATTTGTTACCTTAAACATTTATCATTTGTTGTAGTGAGAACTTTCAAAATCCTCTCTTCTATATAGGAACTAGCTAGACAACAACATTTTACCAATACATGACTCTCATATATTAGCAACAAACCAAATTTGAAAAGCCTTAGCCAATACTACAAAAACAAAACATTTAGAGTAATACTTTTAAATTTTTGAAAATGTCTTTAGTTATATAATTATAATTGACAAATTATATTTGCATATACTTAAGGGGTAGAAGATATAATCATATAATCTAAGAATGCAATATAGAATAATTAAATCAAGTGAATTAACATAACAATCATCTCACATACATCATTTTTGTGGTGAAAACATTTGAAATTTAATTTCTTTGCAATTTTGAAATGTACTATATTATTGTTTACTAGATTTACTAGGCTGTGCAATATACATTTATAATAATATTTGTGAATACCAACATATTAGATTTATTACCTTCTATAAATATTCATCTTTGAAATGATAAAAGTGGGTTCTACCTGTAGTTCTTTTCTGACACGAGAAGTTGCAGGTGCATATGAGATGATCTACTGACTTTTCTTCTCAAAGTATTTTTTGGAAGCAGTGGGATTTGGCTTGGTTGTAGAAGAACTCAATATCTATTTGCCAGTCAGACTTCTCTGTGGATCTCCACCAACTGGCATGCCTTCACGAAGAAGGCAGTCTCTTCCATGCTTCAGCCATTGGGAGATCATTGACATTCATATACTTGATGATTTCCACTGGGGTTCTATTATGAAAAGACCCATTAGTGGAAGGTCAGGACCTCCTACCAGCACATCATAGTCTCAGGAAATCTATTTATTTAAGTCTGACAAGAGTACAATGCTCGTATGGCCCAAACTGGCTTTCTTTGGTGTATGTATCTAGACGTGATGGTTATAATGAAAATCCACTGAAACTGCAACAACTTCACAGTTCACAGTTTGAAATGCGTTGGCTTTCTCACTCAAAGCAATAATTTCTGTAGGACACACAAAGGTGAATGGCAAAGGATAAGAGAAGAGCATGAAATACTTTTTTAAGTCAAGCCTAAAGTCAAGGCTTAGTTCTTTGAACTCTTCCCTGGCAATGGCAATATACTTACAATAGTAGGTTTCTGAGGAACTTATTCATTCATTCACTCATGCAATTGAAGAATACAGCAAATGTGAATTGAGAACCTTCACTGTGCCAGCTTTGTGTAGAAAAAAAAGATTTTAAGTAATGTAAAGTGTTTGTTCCTGTTGTCTTTTGTTCTGAACAGAGTTATACTAAGTAGATAGTGGAGAGCAAAGCAAACTTGCAACCACTTTCCTTTCTTAAAGAAGAAACATTGAAGGAGACAGCTACTACATGCATTGCTCGTCTTCACAATGTGTACTATGTCCTGACAAAATGTGTGGAATATTAAATGCCATACTCTGTGTCACAAAGATATTTCCTGATAATTCAGAATAATGGAGAAACAATTCATTTTGAGACATACTAAGACAAATGTATGCTCAGTAAATTTTTAAAATTTAAATTGTCTTTTAAAAAATTATAAATTTATTACCTTAAACATGTATCATTTGTTGTAGTGAGGACGTTCAAAATCTTCTCTTCTGTATAGGAACTAGCTAGACAACAACATTTTAGATTTCTGGGGATATGATGATGACATATATATATATACACATACACACACACACAGAGAGAGAGAGGTTGGTATACACACATATATTTTCATTTTTCATCAGCCCTAAAATTAATGATACTCCAGTAGCAAAGAGCATACCTATGCCTGGCTCCAAGTTTCTTACATTATTCTCCAAAAAAAGGAACCAGGGTTTCTTAGAGTGATGCTGATTTGAGGATTGGGGCACAAGTACACAAGATCAGGCCGGAGTAGTGTTAGAAGGAAGTGTTAACAAAAAATTATGGAGGTATGACAAAGGGGCACAGAAGTCAGCTGAAAGATCCATCAATGACCAAAGCTGGAACAATTGAAGCAGAAAAATTAAGTAGCATTGAACTATAACCCAAAGTATGAAATAAATACCCATGAGTTCACAGTAATATAAATGATTAAGAATAAATAAGTGGGGGAAGAATAGACAAATGTACTATGCAAAAGAATCTTACAGACAGTCTGCTCTTAAAGTGGTGGAACATAATTCCCCACTCCTTATGGGTAAGCTAAGCATAGTGATTTCCTTTCAAAGAATAGAGTGTGAAAAGAGGAAAAAGAATAACTTTCCAGGGGAGAAACGTGACCAAAAACTATCTCAGCCAGGTAATCAAGGTTAACATCAACAGTGGTAAGTCACCTTAATTGTATGTACACTTGATATGATGTGATGCGAATGGCACTTTACCTCAGTGGTCTTTCTCCCAAGAACACATAAGTCAGGTCTAATCACAAGAAAAACATCACACAAAGTCCAGTTGAGGGACATTATACAAAGCTTCTGAGTCGTACTCCTGAAAACAAGCAAGATTGTCAAAAACAAGATAATTCTGAGAAACTGTCAGAGCCAATAGGAGCCAAAGAAGACATGACAACTAATGTAATGTGCTATCCTGGATGGGAGCCTGAATAAAGTACAGTGTTGAATTTAGTTTATAATAGTGTGTCAATATTGGTTCATTAATTGTAACAAATACATCAAACTCATGTTAAATGTTAATAATAGGGGAAGTTGAGTGGGAATACATGGAAACTCTATCTTCATAATTTTTCTCTAAATCTGAAATTGTGCTAAACTAAAAGTATACATATGAATACATATACATACATATACATGTATACATATATGTATATGTACACACATATGCATATACACATTTCATATATACGTACATGTACACATATATGTATATATGTACATATATATGTACATGTATATGTATACATACACTGAACTATGATATGCAATATAGTCTGAAATTTTATTTTATGATAAATTTCATATAATACAAGAATTGTCTATCTTGTTTATCAGTGTTTCTCTAGTACGTTATACAGCACTTGTCACAGATTTTTTTTTTCTTTAGAGGCAGAATCTTGTTCTGTCACCCAGGCTGGAATGCAGTGGCATGATCATGGCTCACTGGAGCCTCAAATTCCTGGAGTCTAATAATCCTCCTATCTCAGCCTCCTGAGTAGCTGGGGCTGCAGGCACATATCATCACACAATTAGCCAGGCTAATGTTTTCATTTCTTTGTGGAGACGGGGTCTTGCTTTGTTGCCCCGACTAGTCTCAAACCCCTGGCCTCAAGGGATTCTCCTGCCTCAGCCTCCCAAAGTGCTGGGATTACAAGTATGAGCCACTGTGCCTAACAAGAACAAAAAAAAAATTCTTTAAAAATACTAATTTAATGGATATAGATACAGAACTATGCGTATTTGTGTATTCATGCATGTCTATATATCTTACAATTTATATTTATGTAATTTATATATCATTTTCCATGTTAAATGTTTCACATATGTAATATTCACTGACTCTGTGATAATTTAGAAGTGTGTTCAATTAAAGTCCCCGAATGACTCCCCAATCTACTTGTATCAAAGTTTCAATTTAATTTTTTTCAAATAATTTGCATGATTGCAAACAGTCATCTGTGTATATTTTTAAGTGTATAAAACTTAAAAATGATCACGTGTCACTCAACAAGGGCTCATTCATTGTATGTAATGCACTTCCTTGTGAATTTCCTTGAGGTACTTGATCTATCATCTGACTCTAAATTCCTCTAAATGCCCACAGGCCTAATTTTAGTTGAAGAATGTCATGTTAATTTAGAGAATTGTTTTGAACTAGTTTATGTTTACATATGCTTGGTGTAACCGTGAGTCCTATGCTCTTTGTGACTAATATTCATGTTTGTAAATGTGCTGGCCTATATATATATATGAGATAATCGTCATCTTCCTGAGCCAGTGATTTTGATTCCGGGTCACAGAGATATTCCTGATAGGCTCTGAGGGTCTGGATACAGGGAAGGTGTGTATAATCTGCTCATCGGGCCAGTAGTACATAGAGTCTGGCTGTATACACGTCTCAGCAGTTTAAAAACTTTCATCACTTTTCATCTGAACTTTCTCTTTACTGAGGCATGCTTGGACCTTTGGCTCTCTCAGTCTCTCTCTCTCAGTTTCTCTCTCTCTCTCTCTTTCTCTCTCTCTCCCTGTCTGTCTCTTTCTCTCTCTTTTCATCTGTACTTTGAAAAACGACTAGGCCTCTCATAGTGTTTTTGATTCTTTAGTCAGGGGTGAAAGTAATACATTTAGGAATAGTAATTAATAAATCAGAGTAGGCTGTTTCCAGTTTTGAATGCACAGTATATTTGTTATTTTATAAGATACATAAAGAAACATTTTTCTCTCCATTTATATGGTATTCACTGACTAAAGCAATTGAAAGCATTAACTACAATACAGTGCTATCACCATATACAGTTATAGCTTCTATTTTATGTGAATAACTTCATGGTTATTTATTTTCATGGCTTTTCTTGTTGCACAGGACTATGAGAAGAAAACCTATTTTCTAAACTGCCGTGGATGGTGTCTCTAATCCACTCACACCTGATCCATGACGTGTGACACAGTTGCTCCTGAATGGGATCAGATACTTGATACTTATGTGTATTTCATGGCATCTATAAGCGACCCAACCAGCTGTGGCTTATGTGCCAAGTGACAGATAGTTATCATTAGTTGGCTTATCCAACAAGTCTTTGTTGTACAACCACTGTATGATAGGCATTCTTCTAGGAATTGAGGCTGTAACAATTATTAACATAAAAAGAGACTTCATTCTACTCTCATGGAGTTAGTTTCTATTTTACTAGGGGAGAGACAATTACAATGTTTTAATAATCATTATGTTAAACAGTGATGCAAGCTATAAGAAACAAAAATAAATTTGAATGTGTTGAGAATGGCAAGAATATGTTGTCATTCTGTGTTACATTATACTTTACCCATAAATCTGTTACCATTTACAAATAGCATTATGCGGGACTGTGTTTACATTAGGCCCCCACAAGGGATCTCATACTTCCTTCTGTCTCCAGCACACAACAGTGAGTGGCACGCAGTGAATGCTGGATGACGGTGGAATGGTGGAAGGGTGAGTGGATGACATTTGTTAGTAGTTTGATATCTCTATGTAGAAAGTGATACACAAAGATAACTATAAGAGCATTTAAAAATATTAGAAAAATGTGCATCAATTTCACAATTGTGAAATTCAGGAGAGAAATAAATGAGAAAGTTAAAAATGATTGATATTTAAAGGCTCATGTTAACAGAGAGCATCAAGACACAAAAAGAAAAAAAAAATCAGTGAAAATTTAAAATGTTATGAATAGGACAAATTTCTGTTGCTGGGACTGAATCAGATAATTTCTTTTAATCATTTGGTTTATTGCTTTGCAACTCATCTATGCAGCTGGAATCTGGAAGTACCAGTTTTACATAGTATAAAAACTGCCCTGATTTTTAAGTTGGACTGACTACATTGATTTTTCTCCACTGGTTCCCTGCCAAAGGAAAAAAAAAGGGAAAGTACTTTCTCAAGCTAATTATATCTATGTTTAATAAATAATTAAAGTGATGTGTCCAAGAGTAATAATACGCTGAATTTAAAATTTAATTAAAAAATTTTAAAACAGGAAACTCCCATACCACAATTTCATATTCAGTATATTTCAAGGCATTCAGTAGATTTGAATGATGAAAATTAAATAAACCATTACAAATTTTTGAAGAGTTTACTTTTTCAAAACAGTCAAATCAGGTCATGATTGTTTCTTGATGTCATAGTTTCTTTGGACTTTCCTAAGACATCCAGAGAGAGGAAAGGTAGGGACAATTCTTTCAAATGTGGCTTCAAGAAATATTACTTTATCTTACTTCTGTGAACTTGCTAGGAGAAAAAAGTATTACTTTATAACGGAAGCATCGTGTGTGATTCTGTGTGTGCACAAGTTGTATGTGTCAGAAAGTGTATGTTTGCTTATGTGTGTGTGTGTACCTATATGTGTTTTCATGCTGAGAGCACTAAGATAACATAAAAGCTCTGGAATGTTTTGGAAAAACCTTACTCTCATGTGATAGGAGTAGAGATTATCAGATACTTGCTGTTGACATATCAATCCTAATTATAGAGGCTCAGTGTCTCAGGGTGATTCTCTCTTTAGACACTCGAAGACACTCCCATTGAAAAGAAAGACAGTTGCTCAAGTGTTCTATTTTGTTTTTAATTTGCCTTGAAGTCATGTATTAATGCATGAGGACCGCAAGAAATAGGGTGGGGAGGCTTTAGCTCTAACATTTCTTTTCTTACTATAATGCTACAGGAGAATCCCTGTTTTTTTGGCCTTCAAGGAATGGTGCAAAAGAATATCTTTTGTCTCAATTTCTGATAATTGTAGAAAAGGCAATTTGAGTGCCTAGAATAACATTTTCTCCTATTCAATGGCCTAGTTTTCTATCTTATTTCTGTGTTTACATTGTATAACTACCTTTTACCAGATGTCTCTCAATTTCGGAGATTTATAAGCCTTCAAGAAAAGTGTATACAACTATACAAAATAGACAGAGTGATCACTACAACTTTGTGATGATCTGCCCTTCATCAAAAGCAGGAGATAACTAACAACCTTCTGTTTGAGTCAAATCATGGAAATATTTAAATGACACTTCTGAAATGACTTGAGGTTTTATACATATTGAGATTGTCATAATCTGAAATTCCATTTATCAAAAATCAGTACCAATCTCGGTGACCTAACCAGAATGAGTCATTCCTGGAACCACTCAAGGATTAGTTATTACTATAGCTAAAAGGAATAAAACTGAATCAATGAACAGAAAGTAAATCTGGACATTGCTCCAGATATGGCTCAAACGAACCAGTTATTACATAAGCTAAAGATCTGTGTTGCTGATAATAGAAACACCTAAGAGATTAGAAGGATTAATTTCACAAGGCACCACCCCAAGCAACTGAAAAA